TAGAATGTGGCCCTAGAAGGATAGTAGAGGGTTCACAATCTTTCTTTCTCCACTCAGTGGCGTGGAACAACTGTATGCCTTTAAAAGGGCACCATTGAAAGAAACAAAAAGGAAGCTATTTCAAAATACTGGAAATGAGGTTTAGCTGCTTACTTTCAGGATGAAGACAATGATGCCTAATTAAGTCCACTCCACATTCCTTTGGACTCTGAGGATCCTGCACCTGAAGGCTAAATTGCATTGGTTCAGCTCTGTCTTTCTGCCCCATCCTTTAATTGCAAATCTATTTCTTCCTCCTTTCATTTACTTCCCTTCTCTTAAGTAAGAAATGAGGGAAATGAGACAGGCATTTTTATTTGTTTGCTTTTAGTGATCATTAGGAGTTCTCATCATATGGTATCTTTTGAAAATGTTGCTTTTCTAGTTACACACCTGTGAAGTTTTACTGCAACTGCTCAAACTTATTTGTCTTAAAATCAAAGGGGAATCTTTGGATAGTAGAAGAGGAGATTGGGTGTAAGTTTCTAGGAACAGAGCCTGTGTGAAACAAAAAGAAAACATTCTCACTATTGGAGAAAAAGATAAAAAAGTGAATTTGCCAACGAGAAGAATTTTATGCTCCTTCCGTGATTCCAAAGAGATTAAACTTTACTTTAAAAAAATTCTGAGGGGATGCCTGGGTGGCTCAGTCGTTAAGCGTCTGCCTTTGACTCGGGTCATGATCCCAGGGTCCTGGGATCCAGCCCCGCATCGGGCTCTCTGCTCAGCAGGAAGCCTGCTTCTCCCTCTCCCACTCCCCCTACTGGTGTTCCTGCTCTCGCTGTCTCTCTGTCAAATAAATAAATAAAATCTTAAAAAAATAAAAATTAAAAAATTTTGAGGGGGTAGATGGGGAGGGGAGGTGGGCTGGTTCCAGGTGAGGACTAAGGGTCAAATTGGAAAAGATGACCCCACACCCATATCCCACTTCAACTTCAGCTATTACTCCCCTCCTTCTACTGATAGGGCTTATGACATCCATACACAACTACAGAGGAGAAAATAATTCCCTCTGGCACTAGAAGCACCAACCACAACTAGAGCTTTCCATTTACAGCCACTCCTGATGCAATGGCAGTGATAAGCTTTCTTTGAGATTGACTGCTCACTTTGAGGTTCTCTGCTCTTTTCACAAAAGAGTCCTTCCAACATAAGTAGAACATGCTAGCACATCCATGTTGAGAGCAAGTTGACTGGATCCATGCAGAAACAGGACCTTACATTTATCCTCAGCTGTGAAGTTTCTGGAGTCCCAAAGCATACTTCCCACCCAGGTTTTGAGAAGGAACTGCCCAACCTGTGGAATGTATCAACTAGTACGAGGCACAGGTTTCAGGGGACAAAGACTAGGGCCTCTTTTTGATACAAAGCCTTACTTTCCTTCTGTTCCACCCAGCACAATTGCAGCAGAACAGACATATACAATGCCTTCTGCATAACATATGTGCGTGTTTTGACCACCGCTCACCTCTACATCTCCTCTCCCCATTAAAACAAGAATGAGAAAAACTAAACACACTTGCTTAGACTTGCAGATGACTGTATCAGGCACTTGACATTAAACTACCAAAAAACAAGCTTGGCCAGAGCCTTAACACTAGCATTTTCATTGGCATTACTTTGGTGGAAATACATATTAACTGTGTTTTGGGAAGGGGGAAGGTTTCAGAATAACTACATTGTTGCATTTCTCTCACCTGATCTCCTGATAAGCCTTAGGTGGTTTCCTTCCCATGTGGAAAGCCTATGAAGAGTCATAGGTTGTTCAGAGTTTTGCTTATCTTCTTTATAGACCCGGCCCCTATCCCTTACCATTGGCACCTTGAAAAAAAATCTATCCAGCAGGCTTTATCCATCTACCCTCCATGGGAAATTGAAAAAGCATATGTGAGTGTGGATATTGTCTTTAGTAAGCATTTAATGTTCTATGTGCTTCAAATGTTGGGTAATGGCTACTCTTCTATGGAGCCATCCCCACAAAAGTAACCCAAACAACACAGAAGCTGGAGTATGTCTAAAGCGATGAAGAGCCATTTTCTTTCCTAGTGCCCAGTTTCCTTGGGTCTTATTTACTTGGTTTTCTTGATCCCAGACAGATGAGGATTGACTGTAGGATTTTTTTCCCTCTGAAACATGGCTGGAATAGGCAATCACCAGAAATGTTTCCTGATATCCAGTGGAAGAAGGCAGCACAGAGTTCCATAATTACACTGAGACCCAGCCTTATTATTGTATTCAACAAGTTCTGGTGATCTTCCTGGTCAAAGAAGGATGGGTCCCTTCCTCTAGAAGAAGTCTTGGCATGAAGAACATGTGTAGCTTGTCCATTTCAAGCGCTGTGTTCTCCAAGACCATCCACTCCCCAGAATCTCCACATTTATTTTACTCCAAAGTAACACATTTATTATCAGTAGAACACTCAAATGACACATTTAATTCCCATAACAATGTCTGACACCAACCCGACTCCAGGTGCTGAACGTGATGACAGATCTGAAACATTGATGTCCGACCTTTAACTCTGACTTTGTGTCTGCTCCTGATTGTCCCTGGAACTTGGAATCAATACACTGCTTTTGGCATGTCATTTATGTTCCAGAATCTGGCTCCTGGCAGCTCACTAGGAAATGCAGATGTCTGTTTACAGCTGGCAAATGTAATATTAATTCCACTCGTACCAGCTCCAACTTTTATGAAAGTGCCTAGCTTTTTGTATGCCAAGACTGCCTACCTTTGAATTTGTTTATCTATTTATGCATGTATATATATCTAAGAATATATTCCCCCCTCTGTGTATGTCATGTTCATGTGCCATTATGGACAGAACAAAGAAGCCATTTATATTGGAGGAAGAAGGTCAATTAAGCATTAAGAGAATGGAGCTCTATAAAGCTCATATTTATTTAGACTGTGGACCTGAAAGTTTTCCAACTGAGGCAGGGCAGGTCTGTGAGACAGTCACCATTGATGCTTTTTCTCATCCTCTCAGTAGGTCAGTCCCTGTGGTACAGGTAACGAGGGGCACAACTTTGCATGGTTTTCAATGCCATTCTTTCGGATTATAGGCACCCTTCCTGTCTGAGTCCTTCTTGCCCCAGGAGATGATGCAAAAAAGTCCAGTCAGCTCTTATTTGTCTGCTGGATCTGATTTGAACATGGAACACTGAGGACATTCTTCCCCAGAGCCACTGGAGAAGCAGCCTATATCAGAGGAAATTGTGTGTCATTTACACGTTCCCCTCCTGTTTGCAGTGTTGTGTTAATCAAGTGCTTGGAAATTAAGTCAGTTGCTCAAGTGCCCTCAGCTCAGAAGAGCTTCCTGAAACAAATACCAGAGTTGTCAACACACCCGCCATGTAATTGGCTTCCATCAGCTTTTTACTGGATAGTTTTCAAACAGATTACACGAAAACTGGAACAGGGAGGAGACAATAGCTGAAGTCATTGCACTCAGACAGGTGGACTGCTCTCTTCACACTACAGGGACAGAAATGTGTTTTTTCTCTATGTTCTTGCTATTAAGAAAAGCCAGCCATGGAGTAAGTCCCATGGGTTCCCGACATACACTCTCTTGAAAGGTTGAGAGAAACAGGAAGCTTGCCACCTTGGTCCTTCAGGTGTGAAAGGGAAAAGAAACCCACAGTACTGATCAAGGCTTTTCCAGGGCTGATATGCTTCCCAAGAAGATGCTTTTGGAAACACAGTCTCTTCTGGGAATAGTGAGTGACTGATCCTTAGATTGCTACTTTGGTCCATCTGTTAACTACTTTGGATGGATAGGATACCACATTCCAAAGAGTCCTTGACATATTGCTTTTCTATGTTGTTAGCCTGTGAGACCACTGGCTTTCATAAGAAAGTTGATAGGTATTTTTGAAGATGCCAATGTCTGCTGAAGGTAGAGTAGAAATGAATACAATGAAATAGACATGATATGATTAGAAATTAATATGGTGATGAATTGATAGTGAGTATTAGGGAAAGAAATAGAAAGAAGTGTTAGATAATTACATTGATAGATTGATAAACGGAGTAAATAGATTGCTACAGAGGAAGATGGGTGGGTAGATAATTGGAGGGAGAGATAAATCAAATAATTGAGTAGATGGATAACCGTATGATTGCTTCAATAGCTTGATAAACCCTAAATAATCAGCCATCTATGGATCATTTTTTTTTTAATGAGTTAGACAACATTTTTTAAAGAGTACTATCCTCAAAGTGTTTCCCCCTTTTTTGGTCAAGTGACTTCTAAACTTTTACTTTTGGGTTGTGTGCATAGCCCCAAACCTTTAATCCCTATAGCTGATGGAGAAGGCTAATAGGGCAGAGTGGCTAGAGAAGGAGACAAGAAAAAAAAAAATATATATATATATAGATAGATGGATATGGGTATATTGAGATACCTTCCCAAAAAGAAAGGATGTGAACCCGAGTGTAATTAGATAATAATAAGCATGGAGGGAGGGATATGTACATTATAATAAGGAAAATGGCCCAAAGCTTAAAAGACACAGATAATAGGACACTTGGATATAACTCTTGCTGTGCACTACATTATAAGTCAAGTTGTGTCTTCAGGGTGTTTATCATGAGGCACGTTTTTGCCCAAATGGAGCTTATGGTTTGGTGTGTGGGGGGAAGGGAGGCTGGTAGTGAGGATGATGAGGAGAGGAGCAGAGGAAAGGGAAAGGCCAAGGTAGCAGGGACAGATTCCATTTTCGGACACACCAGTGAATGATTACCCTACACATGGTAGAACCTTGCCCACCCCTCCTCCCAACCCCACTCATTCAAACTGGAGAAAAAAAAATCAAATAAATCAACGCCCCCCCCAAAAAATCAAGAAGAACAACAGAAACAAACAAACAAAAAGCCCAAACTGGTTTGCCCTCCGCAGTGTAGATTAAAGTCTGTGATATGGAGAAGCAGGCGTTGCTCAGAGGACCTATGATTTCTTATCAAAACTTGATGAAGAAGTGGGCAAAGAGGGTCCCTGATAGCCAGAGACAAGCCAGTGCTCTAGAAGCCGAGTTTACACCATCAATGACTGCTCCAGGCCCTGTGTAGGGGAAAGAGAGACAGATCCATTAGCATGAACCCAAAGGGTACCATACTTATTCCCTGATAAGCATATATATATATATATATATATATATAGACATGCTTCTCTGTGAGCATCCCCCCATCTCCCACGTCACACCATTGATCCCTCCAAATCGGGACAAATGGAAAACATCTAGTGGGAGCATTTAGAAACCCAAAAGGGCAACTCACTGAAGTACCTTAACCACTATAGCCTGCTCTCAAAGGGTTTAAAAAATAAAAGGGGTAGAGGAGGGATTGTCATTCATTTAGGCCTATGGGCTAAAAAGTTAGGGCAGCAGAGACAGGGCTAAGTGGTATGGCAGGACCTGATTGTCACTTCATAAGCAGTACCTCTAACTGTGGAGATGGTGTCCAGGACAGACAGGGATAGGAGGGGGACGACAGGCATGGGGTGTGGGGACAGTCGATAGTAGAGAGAAGCAGGTAGGGGAAAGAAAGAGAAAGGAATGGAAACATTTTGTGAGCAACAGGATTTTAGGTGTTGGTGTGGCCAACTGTTCATCATGTGTAACTGAGGTATCATGGAGGCTCTTGCGGAGGTAGCTGAGGAAGAATTGATAATTATACTTAAGAGTTTTAATGACTATGATAAGGTTTCTTGCAGCAGTCAGCAGGGCCTCTCTGAAGACCACAAAGAAAACTCTCTGTTCTGTTCAAATTGACACCTAATGGTGTGGCCTGATGGAGTTCTCCCTCTACCCTCTCTTCTGGTCTCTCTGGCACTTTTACATGCCCTAGTGAGTCACCCATGCTCCATTGTAAAACAAGACCATCAAGTCACAAGTGTTGCTCCTTTCACTTCACTTGCCACCCTCAAGAAGACAAATCACATGAAGTGGGATTGTCCTAGCCTGTTCTAAGGACCCAGAGCATGTGTATCAGGGTCTAATTCACCTCTGCATTCCTCCATCACCTTTATTTGCAAGCCATAAGAATTTGGAGTCATAAGGAAGACCAGCAGCTAGCAAGCAGAGAATATTCCAGGGAATGTGGAATCAAATATAAGACAGGGGGTAAGAAGTCATCCAGAGGCATTCCTGTAGAGCCAGTGAGAAGGAAAAGGAGATGCAGACAAGACAAGCATGCCTCTTTTGCCCTCTTAAGCCAGGGCTTGCTTTCAGAAGCAAATAGGCTTATTGGAAATAAACATGATTCCTTGAAAAAGCATAGTTGGTGCAGGGTCTCCTCAAAACAGAACTGTAGTCATTTGGCTGGCTTGTCAGTGTGATGGTGTGGATCCCTGCCTTGCCTAGGAAGAGGCTGGTGCTAACCTTTTGCTTGGGGAAATACAGGCCTCTCACTTCAGCAATGAGCATGTAACTGTTCCAAGCCCAGGGATTTCCATATGGATACTTTTTCTTCCTCTGGTTTCCAATGTACACAAATCTCCTATTGACTAAAGATTCACATTTACTTTCTGGCTTGAGAGTCTGGCTCATACTGCTGTGCAATTTTGTTATAAAGTGTTCACAGACAAGGGCAGGATCCAGGCATGAGCTAAGTGCTATCATCCCCATGAAGGTTCCATACATATTTACAAAAAGTAGCCTGACTCTGGGGCCTCCATCAGTCAAGACATACATCCTAAAGGACCATACTGGCCTACAGAATGTACTGAGTTGAAAAATGCCCCAGTTGGAGCTCAAAATAATTCTCTATATTATCTTCTTCAAAAGATAAATGATTTAGATGTTTTAATGACTTTATAAAAAAATGAACGATGCAGATTTTTTAGACATATATGTTTCTATGAAAGACATATATGTTTCTATATCTATCTATAGATAGATACTTTTATAGAAACATATGTTTAATGAATCTGCATTGCTCATTTCTTTATAAACTCATTAAAGCATCTAAGTCATTTATCTTTTGAAGAAGATAGAGAGGACTTACATTAAACTAATTATATATGTGTATGTGTCTTTGTCTAATTCATGATGCTGACATTAACTTAAGGGACAACTGAAGACCTAATAAGCCCCACTCTAGAGAGACAGAGAGCTTTAGTGTAGGAATCACTTTATCCCAAGTTCTACCGGTGTATTTAAGCATTGCTTTGGATGTCATGCTACCGGCACAAGGTTGGATATAGCTAAAACAGCAGAAAAAAACAGTATATGAGGAAGGCAAAGCATGAAGGGTGAGGTACAGAGAGAGAAGGAGGCAGAATCATAAAGAGAAATGAGTATTTCTGGTGGTGTGTGGCAGTTGCAATAAGATGTTCATTACTATCGGGCAGAGGGTTTATAACCACAGTTAAACTTCAGTTGAGTGTTCCATAGAGCAGAAACCGTGAGGGTAACTTAGCAGATATAAAGGCTGCTCAGCTTGCTTAGGATGATGATGGTAACATGTATTTACATTGTGCTCTCTATGTGGCAAGTGTGATTCTAAATGTTAAACACATATAAACTCATTTAATCTTCACAAAATGCTATGAGCTATGCACTAGCCATGGCATTCCCATTTTATAAATGGAGAAACTAAAGAACAGAGCAGTTAAGTGCTTTGCTATGGTCACCCAACTTCTATACAGGGCTGTATTAGAACGGAGTCACTCTGTCTATAAAGTCTGTCCCCTGGATTGTTACAACTCGACTTCCTTTCAGTGGAAAATGACCCCTTGTGCATGTTTTCCAAGGACCACAGCAACACATAGTGAGAGGAATAACTAGCTAGGAATCTGGAGACCCAGTTTCTCTATGTGATTCTGTTTCTCCCTAGCTGACTGGCACCCCCTCTCTGGCCTTCGCTCTCCCATGTACAAAAGGAGAGGAGGTTGGGATTGATGACCTAAGGCCTTTCTCTTATTAGCATTTTGAGTTATTGTATGAATGGAAACTCTACATCTGGTCCTAGAAGGGACAGCTGGTGAGCAGCCAGATGGCCCTTTCCAGTTGGTACAAAACCATCACCACTCTGGGTTTTTGCACCTCAGCATGTCATCTAAGAGAACAAGAGGCCACCAAACATTCTTGGGCCCCCAGATTTTCTTTTCTGTGGTCATGTTTTCTATGCAGCTTCAAGAAGCTTTATTCTTTAGCAGGTTTGAGGAGATCTGCTTAAACGTATCAGAAAATAAGGCAATTTAATCCCAAAGTGCTTTTAGTCAGTCAATCTATGAGCAATGGCTGAGCTAGTCTGACCCATTGTTAGTTAGTCTAATCCAATATAATAGAGATTAAAATTAGCATCACTTTCCTCATATGGATCCTGCACACATTTGAGATTTGGCAGCTGGGCTAAATGCCAGGACAGCAAGGGACCTATAGGAAGGCTCTTGGATTTTGTTCACAGCAGGAAGTGAGGCTCACATCTGTGTTCCACTCTCTAAGTTGGAGGAATGTGAGATAAAAGCCGCCAGCTATGAAGTGATTTTTTAATTACATCATTGCAGTAACCCTGATTCTACTATTAATGAGGAAAATAAAACATTTAGTTTGTGTCTCTCCCTTAGGGTTTCTGTATGGTAAGGTCACTCACCTGATTAGCCATGTGCTTCTTTGTGCTTTAATATAGATTACCACTGTTCAGCTAATTGGTGTGGCTCCATGAACACTCAGGGCTCACTTTTGGTCCCTTAGGCTGGTAGGAGGCTTTTGCAAATGTTACCTCAATGAATCTGTTGAGGGAAGGGCATGCTACTGGAGGAACACTTCCCCTGAGCTGAGCAGTGGTAGTACTAAAGCTTGAACACACTTCCTCAGATATCAAGTTGACTATGGTTTTCCTATACCTTGGTTTCTTCAGGTAACAACAGCTACATTGACTTCTCCAAGTACTTGGTACCCAAGATCACACCAGCTTTAATTCCAATAAACATGGTCAGGAATTCAAGTGGTGCTTTCCTCCTTCTCCTCCCCTTACTTTTCCTCCTCCACCTCCTTCTTGGTGGAAATAGGGAGAAAGTTAGTTCTTACTTCAAACTTAGAATCCAGAATTGGGAAACATGAAGTGAATTTTCAATTGTGTGTTCTACTACAGAAAACTAACCCTGAAATGTATCTGGATGAAGGACAAGTGTTGGAAGGAAATATGGGACCGAACATCTATGGAGCAGTGTCCCTGAATGAACAGGTAGAGTAGGCGTCTTCTATGAACCTTAGGAAAGGTTTTGGATGCATCTGGACCGCTTGGCTTTGCTCTCTTGTCTTTGCAGCCCTAAACATCCTTTGGGTCAAGTCAATGACCACTGTAAAAGTGTACTAATCCTGGCAACTTTGGAGTGAGACCAGTATGGATTTAAATCCTGACTCTGTGGTGTACCAGCTATGTGATCTTATACAAGGTACTTTCAGTTGTCTTACTGAAAATAGAGGTAATAATACTGAGTTTACAGGATAAAGAGTCAGAGTGATTAATATAGTACCTGGTACAATGTAGTCATGTGATCATGGCGATCACCACTGTGGAGCTTCCACAACCCCCACCTTCCACTTCTTAGTTGAAGCTAATTTGGCTTATTTCAATCCTTCCCAAATATGTTGAACCTGAGGTGAGGTTTTGCTGGTGACAGAGTGAGGAGATGAAATCATGAGATAGGGGGTCTGTTGCTGAGAGAGGCTGTTGGCCGTGAAGTGAGCTTGGGAAGACATGGGTCACTGAGCAGAGTGATGGAAGATGTCCAAAGCTAGGCTCCATGCAAGGTCCAAGGGCAAAGGATAAGTCTTGCAAGGGTAAGGGACCCCACACTAGCCTCAGAGAGCCACTGCCATTCACTCAGCAAGTATTGATTGGGAAGCTGCTGTGAACCACTCTCTGTTTTCAGGCAGACACAATCTCTGCTTTCACAGAGCTTATACTTTACTAGGACCAGGAATAGCATTTCTTCGACTCTAAATCAGTCAACAAACAATTGAAGGAAGGAAGGAAAGAAGAAAGGAAGGAAGGAAGGAAGGAAGGAAGGAAGGAAAGAAGGAAGAGAGGTAAGGAAGGAAAGAGAGAAATTTT